ATTTAGAGTACTGACTTTCAGTATATGGGGAATATCCAAAAACTCTGCAAGTCTTAGTCCCCTGCTCTGAAATTCCAGCACCGTCGCTGAGGCACTGAAGGGGGCTTTATGGTCAGTAGTAAGAGCCATTTTGTATCTTTCTTTTGTTTCATGTGACCACAGCACTCTCCATCAAGTAACCAACCTGATTTTAATGATGCTTTCCATACTATTCCTCATTCTCAGACAGCCAGGGCAATATGTTGCCAGAACTATACTTTTGAAGGCCTTCCAGCTTATCTGTCAAAGTTCTACACCTGTCCGAACTTATACTCTGCTGGCATCATTTTTAAGAATTCAAGAATCACTTTCTTGCCATAATAAAATATTAGAGTAGAATTTTTTTTGGAAGTGACCCTGGATTCTTAAAGGCTATGGCGTTTATGTGTTCACTTATACATTGTTATTCATTTCAAATTAATTATTATTCATTTACTAGACCTGAGTTATTAAACCTCCTTCTTTTGGGGGAGCTAAAAAAATATGGTTTATTTTTACCAAAGTTGTCAAAAATAATTGTTTCTGTTTGAAGCATGAAACCTGCTCTCTATAATAACTGGGTCTTCTGAAGATAGTCATTCTTTAGCACCAAATATTTTTAGAACTTTGAAAGTCACAGATTCCAGAATAGATGATTTTTTTAAAAATGAAACTCTTTTCAAGTTAAAGGGCCTTCAATAAGTAAGGGGTTTTTGTTTATTTGCTCAAACCATTTTAAGTTGTATTAGAAGAGATTCTAACAGGGCAGCTATGTGGCGCAGTGGATAAGCTCTGGCCTTGGAGTCAGGAGGATCTAAGTTCAAATTTGGTCTCAGACACATGGCACTTAACAGCTGTATGACCCTGGGCAAGTCACTCAACCCCGATTGCCTTACCAAAAAGGCAAAAAAAGAAAAGAAGAAGGGATTCTAACATTAATGACTGGGTGACATTTATTTCTGACATCTCTTAGAACGTACAAGTTAAACAATTTTTTTTTTATTGATAGTAGTGTCTGTTAATACGAAACAGGGCAAAAAAAACTAGATCAAAAGAGAAGAGCTAGTGTCCCTCCTATGAAATAATTATTGGTGGATTCATCATCATTATTATTCTAAATTTGTTGTCTATATACCTTACACCTAGGGAAGGGAAGCAAAAGACCAGAGAGAGTTAAGTTTTCTTGGTGACTGAGCCAGCTTTAGGTGAAGGATGGTGCAGACTTCTATCTAGATCCATTACCTGCTAGCTCTTGTTGGGCTGAAGGCCAAGTATGACTTGAGAATCCACAGAAGAGATGCTGATGTAATAAAAATAATAATATCATTTGTATAGTACTTTGAAGTTATCAATGTGAGATCCATATGTTAACCCATTTGTTTCTCACAACAACCCTGTGAGGTAGGTGCTATTATTATCCCTATTTTGCAGATTAGAAAACTGAGGCACAGAGGTTAAGTGACTTGCCCAGGGTTGCACAGCCAGGGTGTGTCTGAGAAGGATTCAAATTCTAGTCCTCTGGACTCCAGTGGTGTAAATTAGATAATCTGCCTTTGAACATTTGAGGGTTAATATTGTTTTTTCCACATTTTAACAAGCATTTATTAAACACCTGCTATATTCTAAGCATTAAACTAGTTAGGCACTAGAGATGCAAAGAAAAAAAATTAAATAGAACTTACCATTAAATAACTTATATTCTATTGGGGGAAATCAACATGTATGTAGAAAATTAAACTAAAAATATCTGCAAAGTAATTTCTGGGTGATTCACAATAATTGGGTGAGATGAGTATAGGATTCCTGTAATAGGTGGATTTGAACTAAACTTTAAAGGAAGCAAGAGCTTCTTCAGAATTGTCAAGGAAATATTGCATTTCAAATATGGAGGACATAGTCTGTACAAAGACTCAGAGACTGATAGGAACTAGAATGTCATGTATGTATTAGGAACAGTGAATGAGCCATTTTGTGGGACTTAGCTTGCATCTTATACAAATGTGTAAAGGCATGAGATTGAATGTCAAATTTGGAGAATGATCCAAATTGCCTAGACCATAGGGAAAAGAAGTAATATGAAATAAAAGAAAGGGACTAAAATGAAATAATTGTGTGGTGGAAGCCAAATTGTGGTGGGCCTTAAAGGACTGAGCTCAGAAGTTTGTATTTTGTTCTAGAGGTAATACCTCTGTGGTTTTTAGAACAGGGAAGTGATGTGGTCAGAAGTAGAGGCCCACAAGTACAGAGAGCTCTTTGTAGGATTTTGGCCAAGAAATGTAAGAGAGATAAATGGTGATAGCTTGAAGTGATTAAAGGGTCTAGTGAAGGTTTGGGGGTTTGTTTGTTTTTTTGTTTTGTTTTGTTTTTGAGATGAAGAAAGCTTGAGTTTGTTGGCAGAATGTAAAAGCAATAGATATGGAGAGATTTAAGATAAGAGTCAGAGAGAGGCAATATTTTAGGAGCAGAGGAACACTAGAAGAGAGAGGATCAAAGGTGCTCAGACAAAAGTTGGCATTGGTAAAGAGACCATCTCTTTATCAGAGACAAGAAGGAGAGAATGGAGAATGATGTTGAGGAATTTTTTGAGATATAGAAAAAGAAAACTCATAGGCAGTGGTGTTTATTGTCTCAGTAAAGTATGAGATGCCCTTTGCTGAAAGAGAGAAGAGATGGGATAGTGTGGGAGGGAGACCTGAGAAGAGGTTTTGTGGATAATAGGATGGAAAAATACTTAAGGAGAAATGGAAGGATTGTCGAGCTGAGGTGAGGGCTCAGTTGAGATTAAGTAACATTTGTAGTGGACCTACTCAGCTCAGTTTGGTGTTTTCCTTTAGTTAACATTCAGCAGCAGACTGAGCAGAGAGGATTGGTAGGGTTTGGCAAGATGTGAAGGATGAGAAATTTGAGGGCAAAGGACAGTTTGGAGTTGATCTTGTTAACTATAGCATCAAAATTACAAAAGGAAGAAAGTGAAGGGAGGGGGGCAGGGGTGATGTCCTGGGAGATTACTGAAGGATGGAGAGATTGAATTTCCTGTTTAAGAGCTTGTGAAGCTGGGGCATCTAGGTGACACAGTGGATAGAGCACTGGCCCTGCAGTCAGGAGGACCTGAGTTCAAATGTGGCCTCAGACACTTGACACTTACTAGCTCTGTGACCCCAGGCAAGGCATTTAACCCCCGTTGCCTAGCAAAAAAATAAAAATAAAAAATAAAATACAACAACAACAAAAAAAAAAAACCTATGAAAAATTAGGGGGAAGGCCTTGGGAAAGATAGAATGATAGGAGGTTATGATCTGATTCTAATTAGTAGGAAGTGCCTGAGGGTACTCAGGACTTCCTGGGAAGGCCATTAAAGTACAACATATAATTTATTAGTTCTCATTTCAGGAGGGTTTTTCTGTTATCTTTTAAAAATTATTTCCTAACTTGGTTTATAAATGAGATAAACTTGTTCAAATATGGTCAGTAATAGTCAGCATTCACTGAGAATCCGTTGTGTAATTAGCTACTAGATCAGTCAACATTCATTAAGCATCTATTTGACAAATACTTTACTAAGCACTGGGGTTACAAAAACAAAACTCCCTCAAGGAGATTACATTCTATCAGGGGAAACATACACATACAAATATGTAGAGAATACAAAACCAAAACTTGGTGGTTGTGTTAGCTGACTGACTTTTAAAATTGTGGCAATTAAGGATCAATTACTATAATCTCCCAGCCTTTATTAGACAAAACACAATATTTAAAGTTGCTTGAGTCCCAACTGAGTGAGATTGGTGAAGACCCCTCATAAAATTTAAACTTAAATAAGTAAAATAAGGTAAAGACCCCAAATAATAATATATGTGTATATGTGCGCCCAGGTCAGGAAGCTTGTAAATAGCCCAGATGGATATGTTCAAATTGTTGCAAAAATAGTCACCACCACAAATTATTCCCCGATCTGAAATGAACAAAAACAGGATGTGCTAAGAGGATACTTGAAGGAGTGTGAGTAAGGTGCAACCTATGTAGCGATTCTGTAATTTCCTCTGATGTTGCTGGGGTAGTTTTTTTCGTGTTTAGATTGTGCCCTCTGAAGCCCAGCCAATGGGATAAGAGGTAAGGGCTAGGGAGGAGTTGTGGTTAGAACCTATAAAAATGTTTGTTTGGCTAACACCACCTGCGGTCTTGCACGGAACTGCTTTTCATTGCGAGTCGCCCTTTTTCGAGATCGAAATAAAATCCTTTCTGCTTTCTACCTGGAGACGCCTCTGAATTAATTTGGGTAAGGATCATCGCTGTCCCACACACAACATTGTGCTTGCTCCAGACTGCTGATACACCTTCACTGTGGTAAAAGCTGTATCTGCATGTCAGCTCAGACAGCTCAAGGCAAGTCACCCAAGGTGAACCAGCTGAGTGCTATGTAATTATAGTGAATGAGTTTGCTTCAGAAGAGAGTTAATAAAATGAATTTCCCTTGTCTTTGCAGAGGGAGGACTATTGGTGTTCAGTATTGCACATAATACTAGAAAGTTAATGTAGTATTCCTTTACTGAACTATTCCTTTTTCTCATTTTAAAACCTTTGCCTCAAGTGATGGCTCATTGGCTAGGGGAGGGGTATATTTGGTGCTCTACAATTTGTTTAGAGCATTTTTTACAGGTATTTGGAGAGGTTTGGGGGAGAGCTCAAGCCTGGGAGGGGTATATTTGGAAATTAAGATGATAGATAAACAAATACATTCAAAACAAGATTTTTTTTTAAGGGCTCACTAATTGGAATTCTACTGGAAGGCCCTTTCCTAGACTGAAATCTAATATTTATTGCTTCTTAAATATAACTGTACCAAAGGAATTGTGAGGGTATATGTGTGTGTGTGTATATATTTTATTATTTAGGGGAAGGAGGGTTGGGTATTAGCAGAATTTGATTTTTGCTTCTTTGGACAGTATAAATAATTATCTTCTCTCTTTTTCTTACCTTCATAGGTGAAAAGAACTTAGAGACTCCTCAAAATGTAACCGTTGAGATTGTAGATCATAATTTCATACTGAAATGGAATTGGGATAATGAACCTAACAGCAATGTTACTTTTTCAGCATATTACCAAAAGTATGTATGTTTTTTATTTTCAGATGTGCTAGAATTATCTGAATATTTTACATGAGCAAAGTTGACATGCTATATTTCAATTTTATGCTAGAATACTTTCCCTATGCTGTAATTAAAATTTTCTTTTACAGATAAAGCATAATCTCCAGCCTATATATGACCTTGTTTAACAAGGTCCTAGGAAAATCATTTTTTGGAGTTAGGCATAAAGGGATAAAACTTGGATTAAATTTAGACAGGGCCTCTCAAGCCTTTCTACCTATCTCCTACCCACAGCAGTATCTCTATGAACTAATCTAGATAAGCCAACTCCATTATCAGAAATTAGTTTCTGAACCAAATTGTCTACAAATACCAATCATTCTCTCTGGAGGTCTTATGGATATAGGTGGAAGCAACTAGATGGAGATCATTCAGAAGCAGGCCTCAGTCACCTGGATAATTCCCTTTTTTTAACTGAGAAACTTCAATTTTCCTTCAATAGTTATACACATTTATGAATTATGTTATGAACTTAAAAGATTATGAATGAGACCACATACATTAAACTCTTAAACAAGAATAACAATTAATAACAAACAAGATAAATCCCAAGCAAAATGATTTTTAAGACCACGAAAACCCTACAGACAGTAAAACAAAATGATTTTTCAAGAAGTAGTCGAGAATAATTTGTATGTACAGCATCTTTCTGATTTGTTTGGCTTTATTTTGGTCTGGACTTCTGATAACATCAGTATGTGGAGCTCCGGATAGAAAACTTTCTCTACCATGCAGATTTTCTACAACTTATAGTCCTAAATTATGCCTGAGGGCTTGAGAGGTTGTGACCAATTCAGAAGAAGAGCATGTATTTAGCAGGGATTTTGCTGCTATTTGACATCCTTTTATGTAGTTGAAGTTAGTGTATGTAGTCTATTGGTTCTGCTTTCTTTCCCTACTATGTATGGTCTCTGATTTCTTCATATTCCTCATTTCTGAAGGTGTAATAATATTAACATACCACAGTTTATTTAGCCAATCCAAAATCATAGGACACATTGTTTGTTTCCACTTTTTTTCTATTACAAATTGTGCGATTATGAGTAGTTTTATACAGACAGGTCTTTGTTTCCAGTTCCTAACATCCTTAGGATAGAAAACCTAGAAGTGGCGTGGCCATTTGGGGGATGTTTTCTGTTTATGTGGCCTCATGTTCTCAGGACCCTATATTTATCCCTCAATGCTTTTGAACAATCCAAACTACTTATAAAAAAGCAAATTTTAGTGTGTGTTGGATCCTGTGGGCTCACGCTTTCGAAGAGGAGACTAACTCCCTACTGCTTACTTACATTATGTTTTCATTAAGCTGCACAGGAAAACAAATTGAAAAGAACAATTGAGGGAAACACAATCTGGGCAGTCACCTAAATCTTGCCTGATTACGCTCCCTAGGGCCCATGGAAATAAACCAGTAAGCAGCAGAGTCTAGAACCTCTGGGCTCAGCTTCCTGTCTGTAGCAGTGAATTCATTCAATAGCTATAGTGGGAAAGAGGAACCAGTTTCTTGTTACTACAGTTCAGACTAAAAATATTTAGATTAATAATCAAAAAATTTGTGGCTATCTGAAGATTTCTAAGTTTAAATCTTAAAGTTATGAATATCAAGGTTGTTTTCACCTTGTTACTAATACAAGTTCAGAATGCCTCTGTATATATTTATATACAGCAAAGGTTGCTTCTGTTTCCCTTTTAAGAATGAAATAAGAAATACCTAAGGATTTGTCTTTATTTCACGGACCTACAATGGCTATTGATTGCATGTGTGCTGTTGTAATACTTAATGCCTTGATGATCTGTTTTTTCACTTTAATTTTGGGATCTTAACGGTAAGATTATATTATTTCATTATGATTTTTATTTAATTTTTACTGTTTTTTCATACAGAAATATGCCACACTGCTTTGGCATCCTAGTGTCTTCTTGAACAACACTATCTTTGTTGTTCTTATCTTTGGTGAGAGAGGATCCAGTGCCTGCAGAATAAGTGATTATCCAAAATCTTGATGTTGTGGACTGACTTACCATTTATTATGAGGTTTTGGCAGGGCAGCGTATAGATGAAAATGGTCTTTTAAAGTAAACATGTCGATTACAGCCTCAGATTTTGAAACCCTTAGACTATATTCATCAGAATAATCTATAGAGCAGTTTTATAAAAGAAACTTTAAAAAATATTGCACATCTTATTTGTTTACATCAAGGTTTTCAAGGTTCTAAGGGTAGGGCAGGTGTAGTCAGTCAACAAGCATTTCTTAAACAATGACTGTGTGCCAGTCAATTCTAAGTACTAGGAACTCAAAGAAAGGCAAAACATTGCCCCTGCCCTTAGGGAACCCATGTTCTAAAAGGAGAAACAACATAGCAATAAATCAGTATATTCAAGATATATGCAGAGTAAGTGGAAGGTAACCTGAGAGAGGGAGAGTTTCCTGCAGAAGGTGGCAATACTTTTTAAGCATGCTATCTCTAGCCATTATTCTCCTAGCTAACACCTAAGACTAATTTTTATTAGACCAGTTGCTCTTGGGCGTGTTCAAGTATCTGCTGATTTAATTACTTGTTAATTATTGATTATTTAAATTTAATTATTATGGATTTATTCTATCACTCCTTGCTTTCTTTCTCACTCCTTAAGCCTCCAATGGTTGGTTGCTCAAGGTTGACTACCTACAGAAAGGAGCAAAAAAAATATCATAGATCTCATAGATCTGGAGGTAGAAAAGACATCAGAGACCAGTTGGTCCAACTCCCTCATTTTAAAGATGAGAAATCTGAGGCCCAGGGAGGTAACAGATAGCATCCAGGAAATGTATCATGGGAAAAACAAGTGATTTGGTCATGTAAGAAAAAAGACACCAAATACAGCATTGATATACACAAAATATTAAAAGATTTAAAGATCCTCAGCTCTTATCTCTGTCCTGAACTGTAGTCCCCCCTTCTCCAACTACCTATTAGAAATTTCCACCTGGATGTTCTATTCTGTACATCTCAGAATTAAAATGTCCAAAACAGAATGCATTCTCTTTTTCCCGAGCCCTTCTACCTTCTTCCTAACTTGCCTGTTTCTGCTGAGGGAATATCAAGTGTCCTCCCAGTCAACCCAGTTAGTTGCACAATCTAGAAATCATCTTCTCTCTGTGAAACCAGCTTTGTCCTGCACAGATACCTCATGAATGAGGCCTCCAGGGCAAGGACGTAGGTAGAAAGGTTTGGGAAATATGTTTGAAGAACATAAAATGTCTGTCTGAAAACTGTCTTTCCCCCTTTTCTAAAATGCTGTGTTACAACTCTTTTAGAAACCAAGGTCTAAAGAACTCTATATTGGAAGGCAAATTATAGAAAGGCCAGTAAGGGTTGCTAAGACTCAGCTGTATACATTTAAATTAGGGTATTACTAACACTCTGGGACGAAAAAAGTTGACCAAGAAAATTGGAAAAGATTTGCCAGTATTTCTTTAATCTTTTTTCATCAGTGGTAATGGAGGAATCACTGCATTTGGACTCTACCTCTGTACCTGCTAAGCTGCATGAGGAAGTAGAAGAAGCGTTCAAAAAGATGAAGGCAGAAAGAGAATCTGTATCAAACTAAGTACCTACAGAACAAATCTGGTCTGGAAACAACCAAGAAACTAACACCTCTATGTCCATCATCCAATCTCTAGTAAAAGAGAATGATGTATACACAAATTAAGGACATGCTTGATGAGAGTATTAATAGGAAACAAGAAGGCTTTCACATGCTGTATTGCACAGTACCCACATTGTTGTCATCATATGATTTGTTTTTTTTTGTTGTTGTTGTTATTTCTTTTTAGGCAATTGGGGTTAAGTGACTAGCCCAGGGTCACACAGCTAGTAAGTGTCAAATGTTTGGTCTGAGGCCAAATTTGAACTCAGATCCTCCTGACTTCAGGGCTGGTGCTCTATCTACTGCATCATCTAGCTGCCCCATCCAATTAGTCATCACACAGTATTACTGTCACTGTGTACAATGTTCTGGTTCTGCTTACTTCACTCAGCATCAGTTCATGCAAGTCTTAACAGCTTTTTCTGAAATCTGCCTTAGCTTACAGAATCTTAAGCATAAACTTGCTGACATGTAAAATGAGTACAATTGTTTGGTGATTTGAACATTCTTTGGCATTTCCCTTCTTTAGGACTGGGACATAAACTGATCTTTTCCAGTCCAGTGTCCACTGTTGACTTTTCCATATTTGCCAGGCATATTGAGTGCAGCACTTTGACAGCATCATCTTTTGGGATTTTAAATAGCTCAGCTGGAATTCAGTGACCTCCACTAACCTTTTTGTTAGCAGTGCTTCCTAAGGTATATTTGACTTCATTCTCCAGGATGTCCAGCTCTAGATCAGTAACCACACATCCTGGTTATCGGTGATGTTAAGATCTTTATTGTATAGTTCTTCTGTAGCTTCTTGACATTTCTTCTTAATCTCTTCTACATCTGTTAAGTCAGTACCATCTTTGTCTTTTATTATGCCCATTTTTGCATGAAATGTTCCTTCAGTATCTCTAATTTTCTTGAAGAGATATCTTAGCTTTCCCATTCTATTGTTTTCTTTTATTTCTTTGCATTACCCATTTAAGAGAACCTTCTTATCTGCATTCAGATGGGTATATCTTTCCCTTTCGCTTTCCTTCTTTCCTCAGCTGTTTGTAAAGCCTTATCAGACAGCATTTTGTCTTCTTACTTTTCTTTTTCTTTGGAATGTTTTTGTTGCTGTTTCTTATAAAATATTGTGAACCTCTGTCCATAATTCTTCAGGTATTCTGTCTATCAGATCTAATCTCTTAAATCACTTCCACTTCATATTCATCAGGAATGTTGTTTAAGTCATACTTATATGGCCTGTTGTTTTTCCCTATTTTCCATTTAAGTCTGAATTTTGCAGTAAGAAGCTCACGATCTGAGTCATAGTCAGTTCCAGGTCTTATTTTAATTGACTATATAGAGTTTCTCCACCTTTGGCTGCGAAGTATGTAATCATTCTGATTATCGATATTGACTACCTGGTGATATCCATGTAAAGAGTCAACTTTTGGGTTGTTGACAAAGAGTATTTACTATGACCAGTGAGTTATCTTGACAAAACTCTATTAGTCTCTGCCCTGCTTCATTTTGTACTCCAAAGCTAAATTTGCCTGTTATTCTAATTATCACTTGATTTCCTACTTTAGCATTCCAATTCCCTATGATGAATGCGGCTTTTTTTTTTTTTTGGAAGATGTGGTAGGTCTTCGTAAAACTAAGTAACTTTAGCTTCTTCAGCAGCAGTGGTTGGAGCATAGACTTGTATTACTGTGATATTGAACAGTATATCTTGGATTCGAACAGATAACATTTTGTCGTTTTTGAGATTATACCCCAGTACTGCTTTTCTCACCCTTTTGCTCTGAGAGCTACTCCATTTCTTCTAAGTGATTCTTGCCAGTATATATGATGACCACTCGAATTAAATTCACTCATTCCTGTGCATTTAAGCACACTAACATCCAAGGTGTCAGTGTTTAATCTTTTCATCTCCTGTTTGAGCACATCCAGCTTACCTTAGTTACTAGAAATGGTATAATTTTTAAAAATTTGGTTGTATACATGATGCATCACTGAGTCTAACTGAAAATTTGTACTGCCAGAGTATGTTTTACTGGTTATCTTCTAAATCCTTGTGTATAAGCTTACATTATAGGCATTGGGTTTTTTGTAGTGAGCAGATTTATCTGATTTTGTAGTGAGCAGATTTATCTTGCAAATCATCTAAAGGGTAATTGTAATTGAATTGATCTTTTAAAAAATTTCCATAACAACCTATTGTCTTCTCTTTATTTTTAGTGTATAGATAGCAGTACAGATAATTCATAGAAATCATTACTAAAGTAACATGACTACACTTAAGTTAGAGCTTTCTTAATTTTAATAAATAGATGTACTTAATAGATGCTTATTTTGTTGTTTTTGTTTTTTGAAGAATAAAGTCTGGTAAGATGAGCAATTGGAACAAATTGATTGGATGTCAAAACGTCACTGGCACCAAATGTGACTTTACTTCAACAAATTTAAATATATTTGAAAAAATTAGAGTGCGTATAAGATCTGAAAAAGGACAAGAAACATCACCATGGTGTAATGATGTCCTGTTTGCACCGTTTCAAGTAGGTAAGGAGCCAGTTCTGAGTTAAATTGTCTGTAGTTCTTGATTAAAAGTATTGTCATGTTATTGATATGTACATGAAATTCAGTTGCTCATTGATCTCTTTCCAAAATTAGGTAGTCATGCAGCAATTCCTAATTGAAATTGCTTTTGTAAAAGACTATTCTGCTATAACGTAATTATTCTGTTAGGGAATACTTGGGCATAAAGTAGAACATGTCTTCTAAAAAATGTCTGAGGGCTTATCAACACTTTCATCTGTTATCTCAGAAACTGTATGGAGAACAATTATATCTTAAGGAAACTTCTTTGAGTGACCTCAGATACTATTAAGATGTCATAAATTAAGTGTGATATTTTTAAAAGGTCATTTTATTGGAGGAAGTTTATTCTTAGAAAACAGCTAGCTTACCCTTATTTACTTATATCCATCTGTCTTTCTATATTTGTTTATTATAGCTAAGATACATGAATGTTTCTTAAACTAGAGTATTGAGCAAGACTTTATAGAATATTTATGGTCACTCTTTACCCCTAGATTACCTACCCTAACATTAAATGCAAAATTCTTTCAGGTTTACCCAGTACTAGGAGTGAGGTTCTGGTATTGACTTTCCAGTCCAGGGATTCTAGAGGTGTCATGTTTAATATTCCAGGAAGAACCTTTCACCTGTAGTTCTTGGCATTTTTATTTCTAAGGATCCCTCTTTTGTTGCTTTAGCTAGAAAGTAATTTATTCCTAAAACTGAACTCTAAATCACCTTTGATGTGCCCAGAGCATATCTGGAAACTTAATCCCAAGACCCTCATATTCTCTTACTGTTGAAGTTCCTAAGCCAGGTGGTACTTCTTAAAAATATAGCAGTATAAATACCTAAAGAAGTTACTTCCTCGTTACAAATAACTTTAAAATAATCTTCTTACCATAGGTCACATTTCCTTTTTTTCATTAATTATTCATCATGTTGATAAAATTATTGAATTGTTATATATGTGATTATGTATATGTGTATGCATACCAAAAAAATTGCTTTTCCTTTCCAGCACAAATTGGTCCTCCAGAAGTACAGTTAGAAGCTGAAGATACATCAATAATAATAAATATTTCTCCTCCAGGAACAATAAATAGTAGCATGTGGGCTACTCACATCTCAAGTTTTACCTACAGTCTAATTATTTGGAAAAACTCTTCAAGTGTAGAAGTAAGTAATAGTTGGGTTTCTAAAAATTTGATGTGAGAATACAGTTGATTTTGAGAAGAATGAGAAATAGAAGAACATGTGAAAAATTAGATTCCAAAATTGGATTCTATTTTGAAAAGAATACATTTCTCTCTTATTATAGGGAACTCGTTATACTGTTCATTCTGGAGATAAAATTAATGATCTCTCACCAGAAACTACTTATTGTTTAAAAGTTCAAGCAAGATTACCTATACAGAAAAAAAGTGGTTCCTATAGTCCAATACTTTGTATAAATACTACAGGTAAGAAAGAAATCATTTTAGATCAGCTAGGAGATATACATGTATTTTTAGGGGAAAAAAAACACTAAGATCACTAGATAATGAGAGTATTTACGTAATTTTAAAAGTCTATTTGGGATTTTTTTTCTGAAGTTAATTTACTGCTTCTTGTCAAGAAAATGTTTTTGTTTTTGTTTTTTAAAGAAGACAAAGATTTTTTCCCCTTAAAGAAATATCCATGGAGCAGCTGGGTGGGTAGAGCACTGACCCTGGATTTGAGAAGACCTGAGTTCAAATCTAGCCTCAGACACAATACTTACTAGCTGTGTGACCCTAGGCAAGTCAGTTAACCCCACTGCCTAGCCAAAAAAAAAAAATATCCGTAGTAAAATAGATTGCTGTTTATCTTTTCCCAATCCACAGAAAGAAGATAGTTTGTTTTTAGAAAACCTTCTATAAAATGCCACCTTAAAAGTATTTTAATATTGTTGCGTTATGACATTTTGATAATTGTTTAAGCAGTATACCTTGCTAAATAGTCAAAGTGAACTAGAGCTGTTAGCACTATATATCATTTTGCCAGAGCAAAAATCTAACTTTTTTACATATTATTTGACCTAGCTCAACATAAATTACCTCGTCCAGAAAATGTAGAAGTTGATGCTGTAAATAACTATATTCTAAAATGGGATTATCCATATGAAAACATGAGCTTTCAAGTTCAGTATCTCCTGTAAGTTCAACAAGCCTGTTCTATTCACTTTCCTTGTCTATGTATATCATGTTGTTCTTCCTAATGCTTTATTTTCTAACCTAAGTCTCCCTATCTACAATCTGGTTGATTTCACTTGTTATTTCCCCAACCTGGATTGACATCATCCACTAAACCATGTCTTTTTTACTTTTAAAATTTTAAGTCTTGTTTTTTCCATGAAATCCTTTTAAATTGGTTATAATTATCACATCATTATTTGAAGCCGTTACCCTTCCTGTTTTCCTAAATACTTTATGTGGTCTTGAGTGAAAGGTTAAGGAAAGATGGGAAGGAGAAAGCAATCTCTTCTGCTAGCTGACAACTGGCTAGCCTATAGGAGAAGTAACCAAGTACCAGTGGGTGGGAACCAAGCTTAAATGGAAACTCAAGAAAAAATGTGCTGGCTGAACAGCAATAATAGATGTTGGGGAAAGAATAGAATGAAGAGGGAAGAGAAACATTAAGGGAAAGGGGAAGAGAAAAGAGAATGAAATGAGTCAAGGAAAAGAAGGGTTAGTAAAGATCTAGAATGGCGAATCAAAAGAAAGGAAGTAGGGAAAAGAGGAATCAGAAAAGAAGTCATCACCCCCAAGCTCTGTGTATCATTCCTCGAAGTTAAATGATCTAAGAAGGGATCTACAGAAAGGAAATAAAACTTCACTTGTATTCAAATGTAATTATACAAACTGATTAGAAAGTTGGTGCTGATGGTTTTTTGTTATGTGCTTTAAGTTTTACCCTTAATATGCTTAATAATAGAGCCATTGAAGAGAGAGGTGTTTCTGAGGGTTTGGCCATGCAATGAGTGGTAGATACAATTTACATAAAATAGTTTATTAATTTAATTTAAACTCCAAGGAAAGTGACATAGGTCATAAATGCAATAAAAGTTGAATATCGAAATCTTTGTATACTGAGGTGGTCAGAAAATGCACTGTGTACCTCTAATGGACTGAAGTTTTAGTTCATATTAATAGTTATTTATGAATCATTGTCCCTGCCCCTAATAACCTATAAACTTCCTAAGGGTAAGGATGTCTTTGTATAAACTTTGTATGTCTCCTAGATGGTCAGCACTTCAGACATATTCAGAAAATATACCAGGAGTATCTTGTCAAGAGCATTTAAAAATCTGATTGATGGACTCTTGATTTGTTCATACTGTTAAATGATAAATTTGAGTGATAGAAGTAAAATTATTTCTAAATTTTATAAGGTCTAATGTGTTTAATTCTGCAACTGTTGAACGTTTTTAAAAGTAAATTACATTTTGTCTTACAGGGGCTATTATAAAAGAATTCCAAGTGACTACTCAGATAAATGGAAAACTATATCTGATTGTAAACATATCATAAGTAGACACTGTGACTTCTCAGAAGAAATCACCACAGATGGAATTTATTATCTGCGTGTACAAGCTTCAAACGGAACTATCACATCTCTTTGGTCTGCTGAGAGAAAATTTGATACTAGAATACATAGTAAGCAGATACATGTTATAATTCTCCTTTATTGATGTGAGTATTTTTAAGTTTTATTTTTCTAATTAGATTTTGTTTCTCTCCATAAAATATATCTAGCCAGAAGAGGTCCTCCAAGCATAATAGTGAAACCCCATAAGGACTCACTTTCTGTCTACATTAGTGTTCCAGGAGAATCTGAAAAAAAGCCAATGAGCCAGGATTATCCATTAATTTATGAAGTTATTTACTGGAAAAATGCTTCAAATATTGAGGTAAAAACATGAATACTGTTTTCCAATTGAAGAGGTTCATGAGGTTCATTTTAACACTAGATTAATTGAGTTGGAGAAATCAACCAGCCACCATTTATATTATGCCTACTGTATACCCAGGTACTGTACAGGGCCTGGGAATGCAAATATAAAGAATGAAACAATCTCTAATCTCATTGAGTTTATATCCTAACAATTTGAAGTTTTAAATTTGGAGTAACGCCTAACTTTAAGGCTATACAATTAACTCAGTTAATTATGTTAGAGGAGATGGTACCATAGATAGTATAGGACATTACTTAATCTGTTTCCCCAGATTGCTTTTCCTGTATGAAATAGGAATCATAAAAGCAGTCTCTGAAGATGCTGATAGGTAAGAATAGTAAATTTGGTTTGTGTGTTTCTTTTTTACCTCCTGTTACAAGTCTGAGCAGTTCTAAGAGATGTAGTCACTTTATCTTCTGAATCCACTGTCATCGTTGCTCAGTAGCATACATCTTTCACTTTAGAATTAGTCAGCTGTCAATTAGCTATGTTTGAGAAAAGGAACAATAGCATGGATTAATCCAAACTAGTAGAAGATGATGTATTTCAAAGATCAATATAACTTAGTTTCCATAATTTTATTTTTTGGCAGTAACAGATTTAACTTCTCACCTTAGTAGTTATATGCAAACTGTGCAGTTTGCATTTCTTGAGCACCCATTACCTAGTTCAGGGGCAGAAAGACCAGAAGTAAATAATAATAAAGCACTTTATATATTTGATCTTCACAACAACCCCAGGAGGTAGGCTGTACAATTATAATTAGTTTACAGTTTACAGATGAGGAAAGTGAGGCCTCAGAGAGGTTAAGTGACTTGTCCCAAGGCCTTTGAACTCATCAGTGATAAAGTACCTAGACCCTAGTTCTTCTGACTCCAAACTGAGTGCTAAGTAGAGGTCAGTTTGGAATTAAACACTTGACGTAAATTAGCCACAAAATGGATATTTCACATCCTCATAATTTAGAGTTGACTACTATATTAAAGTGTGTGTGTAAATTTTTCCCTTTTTTTCTTTACAGAACAAAATGATAGTAAAACAGAAATTATTTGAAGTTTCTGATTTGAAGCCCCTGACTCTGTATTGTTTCAAGGTCAGAGCACTTCTTGACAATGAAAAGAGCAGCAAAAGCATTCAATTTAGTAATGTTGAATGCAGTAAGATAACACCAGGTCAGTGGAGATTTTTTGTGCATATCTCTATAGCAAATGAACTTGATAAAAATTATTTTACTCAAATACTTAAAGGGATCCACTGTCTCATGGAACAGAAACAGTTTTAGATTATTGATAAATACTATAAAAATATTCCCTTTTATCCTCCCTTCAAATACACAACACCAGGTATAGTGTAACTCTTTTAGGTAGTTTTTCAAGATACATTTATGAAATTGTTTTGTCATTTTTTCTGTCATTAAATAGTTATGTAAGAACTCTTTCAAATGCTTTATGAACATGAGCTTGGGTTTTGAACTCCATATTCTTTTTTTCTTTTTTTAAGTCTGTTTTCTTTTGTTTTCTATTCCGAGTTCTCTCCCACCCATTGAAAAAGTAAGAAGAATAAAACCAGTTACAAATATATATACTTAAGCAAAATCCCCATGTTAGCCACATCAAAAAAAAAAAATAGCTTCAGTCTGTACTTTGAGTTGAGCACCTCTTTGTCTGGCTGGGGAAGGGAGGGAATAGTGTGTTTCCTCATGAGTCCACTGGAACTGTGGTTGGCTCCGTTGTGTTAATCAGTGAAACTAATGTCCACATATTTTTGTTTTCCTCTCATAAATTCTTAGTATCCAACTTAATCAAATATGCTCTTTGAAATCTCATGCATATTTTTTCTTAATATAATTAAGATACTTTGGTTTATCACTTCATTATTTTGTTGGTTCTTTTCAGCATATAGGATTTCTTAGCCTCATTGTGTTGCCTCTAGTGGTAATTGTAAGTGCTATTTAGACAGTTGTTTTCCTTAAAACTGTTATCTCTATTAGTTATAAGTTAGAGACCAGTGTACTTTTTTGACTGAGAATATATGAGGACATATTAAGATCTTTCTGAAAAATTGTGTTAATTTTTAGGATACGAATAAAATATGAATCTCTTTGGGAAATATAGACTGTGCATGTAGAAAACATTTAAAGGGCATATTAAGTTTATAAGCAATATAGCTGGGGGGTTTTTTGTTTGTTTTTTGGTGAGGCAGTTGGGGTTAAGTGACTTGCCCAGAGTCACACAGGTAGTGAATGTGATGTGTCTGAGGCCAGATTTGCACTCAGGTCCTCCTGACTCCAGGGCTGGTGCCATCTAGCTGCCACAATATAGCTATTTTCTATGCAGAGTAAATCATTCAAGCAGAATGAATGGATTGAATTTGAATGGACTTGACCAAGAATTTCTGCAGATCACGAAGAAGTGATCATCTCACTTCTGCTTAATAATCTCCAATGAGGAGTGTCCGTTACTTCCTAAATTAGCACTCTCCACTTTGGATAGCACTCATTTTGGGGAATTTTTATCTTTACTTCAAGCCTAGAGCTGTCTCTCTGTAACTTACACTCATTGCTTCTAATTCTACCCTCAGGAGTCAAGAATAAAGCCTAATCCCTTCTACATGACAACTCTTCAAATATTTAGACAGCTATCATGCCCTAATCCCCCACCCCCAGGCAGTTTTTCTCTTCTCCAAGTTAAAGTCTCTGGTAACTAATGCTTATAGAGTATGATCTTTAGTCAGCAAGTTTTCAGCTTACCAATGTCTATCTTTAAATATGATACATAGAACTAAAAACATTGATATAGATGTGCTCTGATTAGGACAGATTTCAGTGGAAATCTTCTTTCTGCATACTAAGAGGCTTTTTAACACAGCCTCAGATAGCATTAACTTTTTTGTCTATCTTGTCATAGCATTGACTCAAACTGAACTTGCAATCCACTAAAACCTGTGATCTTTTTCATAAGAATATTATCTAGCCACCCTTCCTTATCCTAACTTAAGAAGATTTTTTAAATTTTACATTTATCCCTATTAAATTACTATTATAATCTATGTTAAGAGAGGCATAGTGTCCAACAATTAAGAGGTGATACTTGGTGCCATATTTTAGGGAGGACATTGATAAGCTAGAGAGCACATGGGGAAAGTATTCAGGACTGTGAAAGGGCTGAAGACAATAATGTATAAAGATTGGTTGAAGGAACTGAGGCTATTTGACCTGGAGAAGAGAAGATTTTCAAAGGAAGGGAATGAGATCCATTTTCAAGTATTTGAAGGACTTGTCACGTGAAAGAGGGATTTAACGTGTTTTTCTTGACTTCATAGGCAGAACTTTGGATCAGTTTGTAGAAGATATAAAGAGGCAAAGTTACACTTGATGTAGGGCTATCTAGACAGGCTTAGGATCTTTCAGTGAAGGTCTTTGAGGACTGACTGGATCACCACTTATTAGGCATATTGCAGTGTGTATTCTTGTTCGGGTATGGTTTGGACTAGATGGCTTCCAAGAATCCCGTGTAACTCTAAGATTCTGTGATTGTTTACATTTCTTCTTGTTAGATTTGTCTCATCATTTTAGCCTGTCTTGATCTTTTTGGATGCTAATTCTGTCATCTGTCATACTTGCTATCCCCCTCATATCGTCTGCAAATTTGTCAGGCATGCCTTCTCTGCTTTAATCCAAGTCACTGATAAAAATGTTGAATGGTGTAGGACCAAAGATAGGTCTCAGGAGCATTCCACAGGAGCTCTCCCTCTAAGCTGATATGAACCCATTAATGACAACTGTACATATGATAATCCATCCAGTTCCAAATCCACCAAATTGTGCTGTTACTCTAACACAGATATTGACATCTTGACCACAATATTGCATCATCAAAATTTCAATGCAGGAAAAAACCCACAAATTTAAAATAAGTTATTAAATTTAAGATACATCATTTCTTTTAAAAAATGTTTTATATTTTTTGAAATTATGCAAATTTCAAAACAAAAACTGTTAAGGGGTTAAAGAAAGTAGGTTTCCAGGGAGGTGCTGAATTTTTTTCTTTAAAGGGGGTGGTAGGCCAAATACATTTGGGAACCTCTGCTTCAGGTGAATGACTTTGATTGTTGAATGGAGGATGGATTAGAGTGGGTGGAGACTGACAGGCAGACCTACCAGCAGGCTATTACCATAAGCAGAGTATGAGAAGGGTCTGCAATGGAATGGAGTACAGTATCAGAGGAGATAAAAAGGTACATTCAAGAGATGTTGCAAAAGTGAAATTGACAGGCCTTGACAATAGATTGATATGGGAAGTAAGAGTTAGTGAGAAGTCAAGGACAACATCTGGGTTGTAAGCCTGGGGGATTGGGAGGATGCTCGTGCCCTTGACGGTAATAGAGAAGTTTGGAAGAGGGTAGGGTTTGGGGGAAAAAGTAATGAGTTCAGTTTTAGAAACATTGAGTTAAAGATATTTATGGGATATCTAGTTCAAGATGTCTAGTAGGCAGTTGGAAATGTGAGACTGGAGGTTAAAGCTGGGATTTGCATAGAGATGTTAATCAAATCCGTGGGAACTGATGAGATCACCAGATAAAATAGTATAGAGAGAAAAGAGAAGGTGGTCCAGGACAGGTAGGCATGACCTGGATGAAGATCCAGCAAAGGAGACAGAGAAGAAGCAGTCACATAAGTAGGAAGAGAACCAGGAAAGAGCAATGTACAGAAAACCTAGAGAGAAGAGAGTATCGAGAAGACAGTGATTGACAGTGTCAGAGGCTGCAGAGAAGATAAGAAATTTGAGAGAAGGCCATTGGATTTGGCAAATAAAGATCATTGTTAAATTTAGAGAGTTTCAGTGGAATGATGAAGTCAGAAGCCAGACTGCAGAGAGTTAAAAAGAGAATGAGAAGAAAGATAGTAGAGGCATCCAGATAAAGAACTGATGGCCTCCAAATGCAGATTGAAGCGTGCTATTTTCACTTTATTTTTTTTTTCATGTTTTTTTTTTCCTTTTGGTCTGTTGCTTTTTTTTTTACAACTGTGACTAATATGGAAATATGTTTTTCATGCTTGCACATATATAACCTATATCAAATTGTTTACCATTTTAGGAAGAGGGGAAAGGAAAGAGGAAGAGAGAAAAATTTGGAACTCAAAATCTTGTAAAAATGGATGATAAAAATTTTCTTTACATATAATTGGGAAAAAATACTGTTTAAAAAAAAAAAGAAAAGTAGTGGAGGTACCTGTTGTAGATAGCCTTTTGAAGAAGGTTAGCCACAAAGGGCAGGTGAGATATGAAATGATAGAGATGGATGGATCAAGTGAGGGATTTGTGAGGATGGAGAAGATATGGGCATGTTTGTAGGCAGTATTATGAGAAATAACTCATTTGGACTCAGGAAGGATGAAGTTAAAAGCCCAGTTTATTACGCAGTAGCAAAAGTGGGCATCCTAACACACACACACACACACACACACACACACCAAAGCAACTATTTATTTCTAATCCCAGCCGTAGAGTCCCTCCTGTGTTTCCTCATTGGCTGAGTACTCCAGAGTATACAACTTTCCAGCACGCCTGATAACACATCTACTCCTTGACATGTCCCTCTTCCTCCTACATACATCATACGTGCTTAACCCCACCCAGAGGTGAAGAAGTTAGTATTTATGAGCACACTCTTAAGTAAAGCTTAACCTTTGTCCTACTTACTGACTTCTACCAACAAAACAAGATAAGACTGGTTCTTCTTTGCTTTACTTAGTTATTTTTCTAGTGATTGTTTCAACTTTATGGAAACAAACATTTTCTTTATATCTTTCAGTGTGAAAGGAGCCAGTAGACAGGGACAGATTGAAGATCAGTGAAAGAGTGGTGATGATAGAGGGGTCAGTCTGTTGGTGGAAACAGGATAGAACGGGATCACTTGTCCATGTGGAAAGGGTTTGCCGTGGCTAGGTTTAGAGCCACCTCTTCATGTGGGACAGGGGTGAAGGAGGCAGAAGATAGTGGCATGAGGCATCTGGGTGATGCAAGATGGAGGGAAGAACAAGATCACATGAGGAATGCCCTCGATTTGTTTTAGTAAAACACTAGGCAGTGTTCTCAGCAGAGAGGGTAAGAGGAGGGGGAGCCATGGGAAGCTTGAGAAAAAATGAAAAAAAAACCAACATACGCTTTACCCAAATATATCCTTTTATCTCCAAAGTTAAATGATCGCTAAAAAAGGAAGAGTTATTTCCCTTTACTTTGTAGCGTGGTACTTGAATTGACTGTTTAACTAGAGTTTTATTAATTTTCCATGTTGACTTTATTTACATAGTTTTAATCACAGTGTATATTGTTCTTTGGTTCCACTTTTTCATTCTGTATCATATCAAATAAGTCTTCCTCTGTGTCTCTGACTTCTTCATAGTCATCATTTCTTACAACACAATAATCTTCCACTGTGTCCATATGCTATAATTTGTTCAACCATTCCCAATTTTGAGGTACATATTTTGCTTTTCCAAGTCATCAATAAGTATTTATTGAGCTTAGTAACCCACCATGTGCCAGTCAGTGTGCTAAATGCACAAAAGATACAAAGAAAGGCAAAACAATTCTTGCCTTCAAGGAGCTCACAGCCTAAAAGAAAAAACAACATGCGGACAGCTATGTACAAACCAGATATATATGGGATGAATTTGAGGCATTTTTTCAGGGAATGGAAACTGAGATTGACTTACTAAAGAAGGTGGGATTTTAGCAGAGACTCGAAGGAAGCCAGAAGGCGGAGGGTGAGGATGGACAGAATTCTAGACTTGGGTGACAGGCAATGAAAATGCACAAAGTTAGGAGATACGGTGTAACTGGGTCATACAATACATGGAGAAGAGTAAAGTATAAGAAGACTGGAAAGGGTAGGAAGGTATCAGGTTATGGATTTTAAAAGCCAAACAAAACATTTTGAATTTGATCCTAGACAATACAAAATAGGGAGCCACTGGAATTTATTGAATGTGAGGGAGGGTGATACGGTTAGACCTGTACTGTAGGAAGATTACTTTGAGAGCTGAGTGGAGTTTGGACTGGGTGAGGCAGGGAAAGCTACTAGCATGCTATTGCAGTAGTCCAGACATGAGGTGATAAGGACCTACACCAGGATGGTAGCATTGTCAGAGGAGAGAAGGGGGCATATATGAGAGATGTTAGGAAGGAATAATCAACAGGACTTAGCAATTAATTGGATAGGGGAAGTGAGAGATAGTAAAGAGTTGAGGATGATACCTAGGTTTTGAGCCTGGGTGACTGGGATGATTCTGATATCCTTAACAGGATTAGGAATATTCAGAAGAGGGAACTTTTTGAGGGGAAAGATAAGTTCAGTTTTGACCATATTAAATTTAAGATGTCCAGGAGACGTCCAGTTTGAGATGTCTCATAAGTAATTGGAGATGTGAGACTAGAGGGTAGAGTTGGATAAATAGATTTAAGAATCATATACATGGAGATAATAATTGAATCCATGTGAGTTAATGAGGTCACTAGGTTAAATAAATAGAGGGAGAAAAGGGCCCAAGACTTGGGGGATACTCACAGTTAATGGGCTTGACCTGGATGAAAATCCATCAAAGGAAACTGAGAAGCAGTCAGACAGGAGAAGGGGGAAAATACCTATTCATGTCCTTTGACCATTTATTACTTGGGGAATGACTCCTATTTTTGTAAATGTTAGTCCATTCCCTCTATGTCATAGAAGTGAGACTTTTATCAGAGAACTTGCCACAAAGATTTATACCTATTTGCCTGCTTCTAATTTTAGCTAAATTTGGTTTTGTTTGTGCAAAAACTTTCAAATTTTATTTCATCAAAATTGTCCATTTTTCCTTCTTTGATCTTTTCTCTCTTTGGGTAATGAACTCTTCCTTTATCTGTCTCCATAGCTATGACAGGTGATTTTTTTCCTTGCTCCTCCAATTTATATTGCCCTTTATGTCTTGAGTCATGTACTGATTTGTAATTTATCTTGGTTTCTGGTATGAGATGTTAGTCCATACCTAGTTTCTGCCAGACTACTTTGGCTCTCCTCTTCATCTTCTCTTTCCCTCACCCAGAACCCAGTCACAAATTCTTTTCCTTCTTTTCTCTCTCTCTCTCTCTCTCTCTCTCTCTGTGTCTCTGTCTCTCTCTCCCTCTCCTCCTCTCTCCCGCCTTCTCTCTCCCTCCCCTGCTTTGGAATCGACTCTCCCTAGCTTCTTTTGCTTAGAACTAATCCTTCCCTTAATGTACCCTCCCTCATTGTTTTTGCCTTTCCCTCCTGTTTCCCTGTTGAGTGCTATTATTTCTGTGCCCAGCTCTGTGTTTTTGTGTTTGTGTATGGGCACAAGCATGTGTGCTCATCTTAACATTGAGTTCACTCTCCTTCATATTGTGTTCAAATGAGGGGCTAGGGCAAAATCTGTTGTACTTCATATGAATTTCAGAAAGCAGATATATTAATTATGATGCCAGAGAAGACAATGGCAAAAATAGACATAATTAAAAGAGATAAACAGGGAAACTACATTATACATAAAGGCATAGAAATGAGTTAATAGCAGTATTTAATGTAGTCATTGAATTGCATGGCATCTGAGTACTTGAAGGAAAAGTTAAGCAAATTACAGGAAGAAATTGATGGTAAAACTGGTGGTTGGGAACTTCAATGCAGGCAATCAGGGTTAAGTGACCTGCCCAGGATCACAGGGCTAGTGAGCATCATGTCTCTGAGGCCACATTTGGACTTGGGTCTTCCTGACTCTAGGGCTGGTACTCTGTCCACTGTGCCACCTAGCTGCCCCTTCAATGCATCCTTTTTAAACCTAACCAAATTAACAAAAAGATAAAACAAGACCTTCAGTCAGTCAGTAAACATTTATTAAGTAACTACTGTGTTCCAGGCACTGTGCTATGCACTAAGCTAAATTAAGGATATGAATAGAATTTTAGGGGGGAAAAAATAGATATAACTATCTGGTTACTGTTGAATGGGAAAAGAACATGCATATTCTCAGCTGTATATGGCATTTTCATAAAAATAGACCATTTATTAGAGAATAAATCTTCATAAACAAACACATTTATTAACCACAACTCAGACTGTGTTTCATAAAAGACCTATGAAGAAAGGTCTAAAAATTGGAGACTGATTTAATCCTAAAGAATTTGTAGATGGCCTTTCCTCTTACCTTACTTTAGAAGTGGATCTTTGGAGGCCATCTTCCTTCTTCCACATTCTAAATCTTCTCTCATCCTCTTAACCTTTGCCTCTGTATGAAGAGGGCTGTGAATATCTTTCCCCTGCTATGGCTAAATAAACTCGTTTTGTTAACTTCTGTGAGTAATTCATTTTGGTCCGTTCTCAAGACTGAGTAATCAGGATGGCCAGAGTCAGGGCTGGCCTATTACAGAAGTGAGGAAATTGAGGATACAAATGGAGGCATTAGCCTCGGCAATGACAAGGGCCTCTTCATACTCTGAACCAGAAGCAAAGATGCTTTAGCGGTTTCATTTTTTACCTCTGCCTGGACACTGTCCAATCACATAGCCAATAATGATCATCTTTTTAGAAGCTTCTCTCCAGGGAGTATTTAAATTATCTGCTGCCAGCACTTTTCACTTGCATTAACCAATGCTGCCCCAGGGACAGCACCAGTTTATTGGTGGAAGATTCTGATGCTCGATTTTCTCCAGACCTTTTAAAATTCACAAAGTAAATGCTAAAGGAAGGCCTCCAACAACCATAGTACAAACCTAACTGGTTGAGTCCCTATTCCATATGAGGAGCAACAGTTCCGCTGGAATTATGTTGGGTTAGAAAAAGTCTGTATCCAGGAGGCTGACTGGAAGCCTCTCCATCTTCTACTAGGTATAATAAGTACCAGTGCTGTCAACTCTTATAGTTAGTCAGCCAACTAGGAAATTCTCAGTAGAGGAGTCATGCAGGACTGGAAACCAGCCGCCTATAGATCTCTCTGTTCAACCGGAATGCTACAGATTTATTCGTTTTTTGAGGGCAAAGGGAAGCACCCATTAAATTTGTTACAAGGCAAGGCTCACAGGGTGATAATGGTAGTATATTAAAAAATGCCTAGAATAGAAGACAAAGGGCAGCAATTAGACAGATATGTGTGTATATGACTCACTTTTTTCTCTGCCTAGAATGCCACTTATTAAATTCATTTTCTTTGAATTCCATTTTTTTCAGATGAACCGAAAAAAACCTGGATTATAGTCATTTGCTTTATATTTATCGTGGGACTGATTGTTATAGCTTATTGTTTAAAAAGACTACTGAAATTGGTAAAATATGTTTTTTATCCATCCTGCAAACCTCCTTCAAATATGGATGAGGTATGTGGCACTTTTTTCTTCTTCTTTTGAAGGGATGCAGAATGTACAGAATTATAATCCCTCAAGAAAAAGATGTTAAAACTTGTATAATGTTAGAATTCAATAGAATATTTAAGATTTACTGCAGAAAATCTCATGGGCTAGTTTGTGCATTTCCTCTAAGTTGCAGTAAACATATAAATGATATAATACATATGATTAAATGGAAGTCATAAAGCAGGATTTACTACCAAATACCACACTCCTCTGACAAATTGAAGTCTATGGCACTTAATTTTTGCTATTTTAAGTTTTTGAAACATGTTGTGGAAATGAAATAACAATAAATAATCATACTCATGCCTGTGAAATAACTAATGAAAGGACTGGGATACATCTAGGTCTCTATCATTACTATAAAATATACTATCTATGTGTTTAAAATAAACTTGTAAATACTCATTTGCTTGGGGAAAATATTAGTTGATTTTTAGATTCTATCACCATGTCTGAATCCTGAGGTCAGGTGATGACACCAACAAGGTTATCTTCCTTTATTAGTGAGTGTAATACTCAGGTCACAGACTTGCTTTCTATCCCAGCCCTTATGAACTTCATTATTAATGCTGTTGACCCTTAGTGGCCTTCAATTCAATGAACGTTTTTTTTAATGGTACCTTTTGTTTTTATTTTTTGTAGTGTTTTTTTTCCCAGTTACACGTCAAGACAATTTTTAGCATTAATTTTTACAAGATTTTCATTTCCAAATTTTTCTCCCTCCCCTCTTCCGAGACTGATAGACAATTTGATATAGGTTATACATGTGCTCTCATGTAAAACATATTTCCATGTTAGTCACAGTTATGAAAGAAGAAACAGAACAAAAGGAAAAAAAACACAAAAAAGAATAAAGTAAGTGAAAAAAGTATACTTCTATCTGCATTCAGAGTCCATCAGTTCTTTATCATCACACAGTATTGCCAATACTGTGTCTGTTTTCCTGATTCTGCTCATTTCACTTTGCATCAGTTTCTACAAATCTTTCTAGGTTTTTCTGAAATCTACCTGTTCATCATTTCTTATTACAAAATGATGTTCCATTACATTCATATACCACAATCTCTTCAGCCATTCCCCAATGGATGGGCATCCAATCAGTTTCCAATATTTTGCCATCACAAAAAGGGCTGCTATTAATATTTTTGTACATGTAGGTCCTTTTCCCTTTTGTATGATCTCTTTAGGATAGTGGTATTGTTGGATCAAAGGGTATACACAGTTTGATTGCCCTTTGGGTATAGTTCCAAATTGCTCTCCAGAATGGTTGGATCAGTTCACTACTCCACCAGCAGTACATTAGTGTCCCAATTTCCCATATCTTCTCCAGCATTTATCATTTTCTTTTTTTTGTCATATTAGCCAATTTGATAGGTATGAGGTGGTACATCAGAGTTGTTTTAACTTGAATTTCTCTGATCAGTAGTGATTTAGAGCATTTCTTCATATGCCTATAGATAGCTTTGATTTCTTCATCTGAAAACTGCCTGTTCATATCCTTTGACCGTTTTTCAATTTGGTGAATGGCTTATATTCTTGTAAATTTGACTCAGTTCTCTACATATCTGAGGAATAAGGCCTTTATCAGAGACACTTGCTGTAAAGATTGTTTCGCAGCTTTGCTTTCCATCTAATCTTGGTTGCATTGGTTTTGTTTGTACAAAATCTTTTTAATTTAATATAATCAAAATTATACATTTCATAATGCTCTCTACCTTTTGTTTGGTATGAATTCTTCCCTTCCCCATAGTTTTGACAGGCAGACTAATCCTTGTTCTTCTGTTTTGCTTATGGTGTCACACTTTGTCTAATCATGCACCCATTTTGACCTTATCTTGGTACATAGTGTTAATGAACCTTCTTAAATCCCGTGAGCTCTGTTTCTACTTTACAGGAGCAGTCTTAATTAGACACCTCTGATCACCACCTTTAAAATTCATTTTGTTGATCACCATCTTTTATACTTCCTTTCGGCTCCTAAATCTCTTCCATCTACATTTTACCTCTACTTCTGTAGTCATTCCCTGTTGTCCTAGTCCATTACGCCTGATCTATCTCCCTTGCTTTGCTCCCTTCAATCTTGACCCTAAAGTTAGTTCAGCAAGGTTCTATACTCCATTCTTGAATCCTTTGCCCTCTTATCCTGCTATTCACACCCCACTAATCCTCACTCCTAGGTAATCCCCATCATCTAAGGGATGCAACCATGTAGAGTTGGTCTGCTACAAGCTCATGTTATCTCATCTCAACTGGGCCTTCACTGAAACACAGCAACACTTTTATTCTTCTCTGGCTGACCCTCTCACATTTTCCAAAGCAACAGTTCCAAACATTCCAACTCAGTTCACAAAGAATTTTGCAAACTTTAATAAGCTCTAGCTGCATATGTAAGGTGTTGTATTAGACATTGAAAATACAAAGAAAAAAATTAAATAATCCCTCCTCTCAGAGAAGACAATTTTATGCCATCCCCCCTCTCTTAGTAGATGGTCTTTCCTCTTACCTTACTTGAGAAGTAGATCTTCAGAAGCTGTCCTTCTTCCACACTCTAAATCTTCTCTCATCCTCTTCACCTTTGTTTCCGTCTCAGAGTATGAAGAGGCCCTCGTCATTGCCGAGGCTAATGCCTCCATTTGTACCCTTAGTATCCTCACTTCTGTAATAGGCCAGTCCTGAATCTGGCCATCCTGATTATTCAGGTTTGAGATTGGACCAGAATGAATTACTCATAGAAGTTAATGAAAGGGGTTTTTTTAGCCATAGCAAGGGAAAGATATTCACAGCCAAAAAGGACATCAAACAAGTATAAAACATTTATTATTCATTTGGGGGTAGTTTCCTTGCCCTTGTGTTGCTCATGACAACCTGTAGTTAGAAACCTGTAGAAGGAAACAAGTGACCACTCGTGCCCCGAAATTTTGACAAAACAAACCCAGCCCTCCAGGAATTTACACCCCACCCCACCACCCTCAGTGTAATATATACACAGGTGTACACAGTTTAAGAAATGAAACTTGAAGAACAGAGAACCCTGAATACCAGAAGAATCAAAAAAAAGCTGTTAGCATTAGCATCATCTTTTCTAGAAATGGCAGAAGTCCTATAAGAAGGCACAGAGATAAAAAATGGAATGCTGATTTCAGGAAACAGACAACAGCCCTTTTCATTATGCTTAACTGAGATCCTAAATGTAGGTGGTATAATACAGATTATTTAAAGCTTTCTAGTCTCCATTTCTTTAATTTAGTTAAAGCTTCTAGGATTTTTTAATTTATATGCCTAAAAAAAGAGTAGTAGGAATAGTTTGACAACCATATTAACTTAATAATGTTAAATTAATTTTTTTCTGTTTTTCTTCTTCATTAGTGGTTTTCTGATCAGCCATTGAAAAATCTCCTTGTCACTTCAGAAGAGCAAACAGAAAGTTGTATTATTGAAAAAGCAAATATCATTGTGTTAGAAGAAACAAATCAAAATGAAAAAAATGATGTTTGCAATAAGCAAGACAATCATGATTCAGGAAACTATTCCAATGAGGATGAAACCAGTAGCAATAAAATGACTGAAGAAAAACTATAACAGGAAACTATGCAACTAGAAATCGTCTGATGTAGTACCTTGCCAGACTGGGGGCCTGAGTCCCATGCCCTTCTTAGTACTCTAAGAGAATTTTTGACAGAGAAATGAAGCCTAACTTTAGACTTTCAACCCCAAAATTCTTAATTAATACTCATCTATTTAAAGTGAAATTCCTAGCGTTTAAAGAAGTATAACTACAAAGCATATTGCTCCTACATTTATAAATGTCTTCAAAGTTCTGTCTTTGAATTCCAGAAGAAGAACCTGCCTCTCTAAACAACTTGACAAACTCGCTTTAAACAGCATGCCATCAGTCTTCTATACTGTTTCATTGGGAGCCAGTTAAAAGCAGTGTTTTCTTTTGTTTTAAAACAGCCTTAAGTACCAGAAAAGAAAGTCTTGTGAACCACATCCACCTCTTGCTGGAAAGTTCAGGTTGAATTGCCTCAGACTTAGTAGTTAGAATTTAACTTCCTTTAAACATCCTTTAATATCTTTTCATCCTCTTTATCATAAGATCTCTGAGCTAGAAGAAACGTCAAGAAATCATCTAGCCCAGCCCCTTGGCAAGTAAGGCAGCATTTTTTTCCATTTTACCAATAAGATGGCTGAGGTCTAGAAATGTTATCTGACTCTCCCTTGGTTAAGGTCACACAACTAGTAAGTGGCCCAGTATTTTGGTTAATAATTTACTAGAGCTATAACTTTTTATTAGATTTTATGTACCTAATATGACAGGGATATGAATTGTTTACTCAGGAAAAAAATATTTTTTAAAAGGTTTATTAGTGAGTCTATGGAGACACCAATGATAATAACTCACATTTATGTAGTGCTTTGAGGTTTGTAGAATCAAAACCCTGTGAACTAGGCAGTACAAGTGTTATTATCTCAATTTAACAAATAAAGAAATTTACATATGAAGTCCATAAGATTTAGGGTATGAGAAATTAAGTGACCTCACCGGAGTCCTTATAGCATAATAGCAAGTATAAAGCAGTATTCAAACCTAGGTCTTCTGACTCTTAAGTCCAGCATTTTATCTCAATGCCATGCTACCTCTGGAGGAATCTTTATTATCCTATGATATTGAAGATATAAACTAGGCAAAAAGGAAGTAATAGAATGGGACTATGTCAGATTTAGGACTGGCAGAAACTAGTTTAGCCACCTCATTTTATAGTTGAGGAAACAAATGCCCTCAAAATTTGTGATTAAGTAATAGTGTATTTCAGAGTAAAGTTATCAGGTGTCAAGAAATTACTTCAGTTAAAGAAAAAAACTATTATTAGCATGTTTGACCATTTTGTGAATTAGCCGTTTCCTCTTTTACGTATGAGGTGTCTTCTCCCTGCTACACCACAGTTTTTCAGGCCGTCTCCCTCTACTCTTCAGCCAGTATATGCTCAAGAAATGCAAACTTTGTATTAGCCTAAGGAATATGCAGGCCTATTATTTAAAAATCATATACATCCCTAATAAACAATTTCTGTACTTTCTACTCTTTACATTATCTGTGCCACTCCTCTGCTAACATGCATAACCAAAATTTAACTGTTAGGGAACATTCTGATTGCCCCCTAGGACAGCCTTAAGTACCCAATCTACACAGCATTGATTGTGGGCCTGAGTTATTGTTTTCCATGTCATTCAATATCCTCAAATTACAAGATTTCTTAAACCTGTATTAGGGCACAAGCCAATTCCTAAGACTCCATGGCCATTTTGAGTACATAGGGTACATTTCAACTTCAAACTGCCCTGGTATGAATTTATTGTATATATACTTTTATATATAATTTTTTTATATATACTTATATGTGTGTATATGTTGTACATATTATTTTCTATAAAATGAAAGTTCCTTACAGGCTGAAGACTGTGTTGTTGTTGTTTTGTCTTTGTATCCACAGTGCCTAGCAGACTGCCTGGCACATGACCAACTTTTAATAAATGCTTTTTTATTGATGGATGTTCACATGCTGCAGACCCCCCAGAGGGACCTGGAAATAATTAAAGGAAAAAAAAATCATCTGCCTGCCTTCCTGACCAAAGGTCAGGAACTACTTGAGTTTATAACCTAGTTTGCTAAAATATGGCAAAGACTACTTAGATGTTACAGGTTACTTTAGGATTATACTCCATGCTGAATTGCAAAGAAATACACATCCATGTTGATAAGCTCCTCATCAGAAACCAGCTTTGCTCACTTGGTGTTTCTGTGACACACATTTTGTACATCCTTGTCAATTGAAGGCAAACTGCTTTTCTGTGATAGAAACCAAACTGATTTCAGATTCGGTGAGTTTCCTGGTTCTGTCCTACATTGCTGGAAGCTTGTAAATGCCTGACTTGGCCCAGGAGAATGGACTGGGGCAGACTGGGGCATTCTACTAGCCAATAGCACCAATGGTATTCACAGCTCCATGGAAGAGTAGTCACACTTAGCAATTTTGGCTGTATTTGGCCTATTTTTTTTAAAAGCACAATACATTGTTTCTTCTGGATGAAAGTTTTCATCCCTTAGGGACGTAAAGAAGTGTTAACCTTTGTGGGAGAGAAGAGGAGAAAATATGGATATTGAAATTGAAAGGCACTCTAGGAAATCATTGATCTTAAAAGGATCCTTGGGAGAAAGTTTGAGGACCAGGGATTTCAAATTTTAACAGTATGCTATGTCAGTGAAATGACAAGCCTTCACCTAGGTAGCAAAAAAAGAGCAAGGTAATGTGCATGGCCGGGGGGGGGGGGGGGGGCGGGCATGCGTGCCAGAACCAGGTGTGAGAAGGGGACCTGTATTTTTTAACTATCATCCATTAAGTCCCTTAATGCATATTCAGTCAATACTATAGACTATTGGGACTAGAAAGGGTCCTAAAAGTTTTTTAGTTAATTCTCCCATGCACAATTTTACACATAAGGAAACAGAGGTCCAGAGAGGTTATTTAAGGTTACAAATTGAGTTAATGGAAGAGTTGGTACTATCATCCAATATCCTAATTCTTAGAGTACTGTTCTTTCCATTTCAACATAAGGCTTCATCTGAAACAAATGTGTTTTTATGACATGTAGAAATCAAAGTACTCATCTGAAGTCATAGATGTGTGCCACATAACATACATAATGCCCCTTTAGAGTCTGAATGTAAAAGACATGATTGTCTTTTTTAATCCTTACAGCCAGTAAAATAGTGCTGAGCCAAAGAAGTGATACATTCCAAATATTTCCAAAACCAGAATATGAGAGGTTGTCAGAATCTATCACTATAATGTTTAAATTTGACTAGAAAGAATAAATTTATGTAGTTATGGAATTCTTGAATTTGATGCCTAAAGAGATTCACCTTTTGGACCAAGTAGTGTTACTGTCTGTTTTATGCATGAGGAAACAAAGTTAATAAAAAAATTCTGTTAAGAAACATGACAAATGTTTACGTGCTTTGTTGGAGTATGGAAGACTAAAACCTTTTGGTTTTTTCAACATGATCTAGGCACTTAATTTTGTTTTTAAAGGAAAAAAATTGGAAAGTATGTGAGCAGAAAAATGTCAGGGTTCTACAAACTTCAACCCTAAAACCTTTCAGGTTTCTTTTAAAGAAAGGAATTCTGAGGGCTAAGCCAAGATGGCAGAATAAAAGCAGGGACTTGCTTGAGCTCTTCCCCAAACCCCTCCAAATACCTGTAAAAATGACTCTAAACAAATTCTAGAGCAGCAAAACCCGCAAAATGACAGTGAAACAAATTTCTAGCCCAAGACAACTTGGAAAGTTGCACCAGGGTGAGAGAGGGGTACAATCCAATGCAAAACACGAGAGCATAGACTGGGCCCCAGCAAACCTGGAGCAGGCGTCAGGGGACTGAATCACTGGCAGCTGTGACAGTTTCCAGACTTCTCAACCAACAAACACCAGAGAACTTAGAAGGTCAGTAAGAAAGGTCTGTCAGACCTGGGTGAGAAGGGAACGTGGTCCAGCCCCAGCCCTGGAGTGGTGGTGGAGGCAGGAGTAGCGACTGCTTCTAGAGCTTTTAACTCACAGATGGTGGGGAGATCAAGCAGCTGATCAGAGGGGGATTGTAGGGATCTCTTCGCTGGCACTGAGCCAGGAATCTCTTTCTTTGCCTGTGTTTGGATCTGGGTCATGGTCTTCGGTGGTGGTTCTGGGGTGAGAAGGAATGCTGGCATAGCAGAGCTTGTGGTGGCAGTGTAGAGGGAATCCTCACAGTTCCAAGGCAGGAAAGAGTGCTTATGGTCACTCATAGACCAGAGCACAAGCCAGAAAAGGAGTAAACACCTCGCCCTTGATCATACCACCTTGAGAGAACTGAAAATTTACATGTCCCTAGAAGTATCTGTGAAAACAGCTACACAACCCCCTAAAGCTTGAGACAGTACACCCTCCACACTAGATGCAGAACCCTACCTTAACAGAGTTTGAAAAGTGAAATAATTGGCTGGGAAATTGAGCAAACAGGAGGAAAAAAAAACTCAGACTATAGAATCTTACTTTGGTGACAAAAAAGATCAAAACATACAACCAAAAGAAGATAATAAAGTCAAAGCTCCTACATCCAAAGCCTCCAAGAAAAATATGAATTGGTCTCAGGCCGTGGAAGAGCTCAAAAAGGATTTTGAAAATCAAGTAAGAGAAGTACAGGAAAAATTGGGAAGATAAATGAGAGTGATGCAAGAAAATAATGAAAAACGAGTGAACAGCTTGCTAAAGGAGACCCAAAAAAAATACTGAAGAAAATAACACCTTAAAAAATAGACTAAAAAAAAAAAAGAGAAAAAAATAGACTAACCCAAATGGCAAAAGAGGTCCAAAAAGCCAATGAGGAGAAGAATGCCTTAAAAAGCAGAATTGGTTATGGAAAAGAAGGTCCAAAAGCTCACTGAAGATAATAATTCCTTAAAAATTAGAATGGAGCAAATGGAAGCTAATGATTTTATGAGAAATGAAGAAACAATAAAACAAAACCAAAAGAATGAAAAAATATAAAACAATGTGAAATATCTCATTGGAAAAACAACTGAAAAAAATAGAAAAAAAAACTGACCTGGAAAATAGATCCAGGAAAGATAATTTAAATGTTATTGGACTACCTGAAAACCATGATCAAAAAAAGAGCCTCGACATCTTTCAAGAAATTATCAAGGAACACTGCCCTGAAACTGTAGAACCAGAGGGTAAAATAAAAATTGAAACAATCCACCAACCACCTCTTGAAAGAGATTCCAAAAGGAAAACTCCTGGGAATATTATAGTCCAATTCCAGAGTTCCTAGGTCAAGGAGAAAATATTGCAAGCAGCCAGAAAGAAGCAATTCAAGTATTGTGGAAACACAATCAGGATAACACAAGATTTAGCAGCTTCTACATTAAGGGATCAGAGGGCTTGTAATATGATATTCCAGAGAGCAAAGGAGCTAGGATTACAACAAAGAATCACCTACCCAACAAAGTTGAGTATATAATCCTTCAGGGGAAAAAATGAAATAGAATACTTTCAATCATTATTGATGGAAAGACCATAGCAGAATGGAAAATTTTACTTTCAAATACAAGACTCTAGAGAAGTATAAAAAGGTAAACAGGAAAGAGAAATCATAAGGGACTTATTAAAGTTAAACTATTTACATTCCTACATGGGAAGAAGATATTTGTAAGTATTAAGATAGTTGGAGGGAATATATATGAAGTCAGAGAGCACAGGGTGAGTTGAATATGAAGGGATGATATCTAAAAAATAAAATTAAGGGGTGTGAGGAATGTACTGGGAGAAGGAGAAAGGGAGAAGTAGAATGGGGTAAATTATCTCACATAAAAGAGGCAAGAAAAAGCTTTTACAGTGGAGGGGAAGAGGGGGAAGGTGAGAAAATGAATGAATCTTACACTCATTGGATTTGGCTTAAGGAGGGAATAACACACTCAGTTGGGTATGGAAATCTATCTTACCATACAGGAAAGTAGGGGGGAAGGGGATAAGAGAAGGGGGATGTGATAAAAGGGAGGACAAATTGGGGGAGGGGGTAATCAGAAGCAAACACTTTTGAGGAGGGACAGGGTCAAAGGAGAGAAGAAAATAAACGGGGGGGCTCAAGATAGGATAGAGGGAAATAATTTTCACAACATGACTATTATGTAACTGTTTTGCATGACTACACATGTATAACCCATACGCAAATGCTTGCCTTCTCAATGATGGTGGGTGGGGAGGGAGGAAGAGAGAGAATTTGGAGCTCAAAGTTTTAAAAACAACTGTTAAAAATTGTTTTTTATATGCAACCGAGAAATAAGATACACAGGCAATGGGGTATAGAAATCTATCTTGCCCTACAGGAAAATAGAAGGGGAAGGGGATAAGAGAAGGGGCCGCGGTGGAAGGGAGAGCACATTGGGGGAAAGGGTAATCAGAATGTATGCCATCTTGGGGTGGGGGAGAGGAGAGATGGGGAGAAAATTTGGAACTCAAAATCTTGTGGAAGTGAATGTTGAAAACCA